GCGCTTCCCGTCATCCGCCAGGTCCCCGATCACGAGGCGATCCCGAACGTTCCCCCCCCCAAAAAAAAAACCACCCCAATTGATGCACTGCCTCTGGCCGAGAGAACGTCCATCTCGCGACTCTTCGAGTCTTAGCGCGCTTCCCGTCAAGAGCTTGGCAAGAACGTGCACCAACATCAAGGTCGCATGTCGCGTGGGTGCTCTTCCCAAATGTCCACAGGGTGTACCAAGTGGACTTCGCTATCCGCGCCAATTCAGACGTGCCGCTGACCCCGAGCGTCCGCAAAAAGACACCACATGGAATTCACGATCCGCGCAAATTCCGACGTGCCACTCACTCCGAACGTCCACAAAAGATACCACATGGAATTCACAATCCGCGCAACTTCAGTCACCGCGCGCCGCGAACAACCCACAGCCGATATCAGGTGGAATTCACTACCCGCGCGAGTTTAGACGTCGCTCTTACCCCGAACGCCCACAAACGATATCAGGTGGAGTTAACTTTCCGCGCGAGTTCAAAACTTGTTGGATGATGTCTCGAGCGAAATGCTCTGTTGTTTAACAAACCTGTTGAAAACCATCGGTTGTTCAATAATTCTGCCTTCGAGGGCCAGTCCGAAGGCAATGGTTGGAGGATGTTTCGAGCGGGGCGCTGATTTTTCAACGAACATGTTAAAACACGCGGGCTGTTCAATATGTTCGCCTCTTGGGCCATCTTGGGGGTCATCCGAGATCGCTCCGAAAAGATGCCTTACAAGAGCTGTGTCGGCATCCCATTGGTTCGAGGATGTCTCAGGCGAAACGCCCATGTCTGACAAAACACATGTTAAGATACGAACCCCAACTTAACATTTAAAAAAAAACTCTTCTTGACATGCCGAAAGATACCAGGTAGAGGTCACTGCCCGCGCGAATTGAGACGTCGCTCTTACCCCAAACGCCCACATAAGATATCGGGTGGAATTCACGTTCCGCGCGAGTTCAAAACTTGTTGGAGGATGTCTCGGGCGAAATGCTTGGTTTTAACAAAGCTGTTGAAACCCTTCGGTTTTTCAATGATTTCGCCTTCGATGGCCCGTCCGAAGGCACTGTTGTGAAGATGTCTCGAGCGAAACGCTCATTTTGCAATGAAGCTGTTAAACCTTTCCTGACATGAACGGGAAGCGCGTGAAAGGGAAGAGTTGCGTAAGAACTTGTAGCATCATCGTGGTCAAATGTAATATAGGCGAGCTCTCCGAACGCCCACAAAGGATACGTATGGACACGCGCCCCCCGAACGTTTACAAGCATCTTCCTGGTTATCCGCCTCACTCCTCCGCATGAGGAGGACGACTGCGAAAACGACAATCGTGGGAGGAGGGGGAGGAGGAGGATGAGGAGGAGGAGGGGGGGGGAGGAGGAGGAGGAGGAGGAGGAGGAGGAGGAGGAGGAGGAGGAGGAGGAGGAGGAGGAGGAGGAGGAGGAGGACCAGCAGCAGCAGCAGCAATAGCAGGAACAGAGGGTGAGGAGGGGACGGGGAGGATGACGAGGAAGAGGAGGAACAGGAGCAGGAGGAGGAAGGAAGACGAGGCAGAGGAGGAGGAGAGAGAAGGGGGAAGAACGAGAGGAGGAGGAGGAGGAGGAGGAGGAGGAGGAGGAGGAAGAGGAGGTGGAGAAGCAAGAACAGGAGGAATGGAATGGCGTAAGAGGAACGCGTCTAAGTTGCCCAGACACGCCCTGCATCAGAAGAACCAGGAGAGGAGCCCGCCGAACACGAACTCCATGGCAGGGAGGGGGGGAGGAGGCGGCCTCCCCCCTCCGCGGGGGGCGCGGCATTATCGCCGCATCCTCCGCTGCTTCCCCCTCCCTGCGCCGGCGCCGGTAGCTGCGCGCGCCTCGGCCACGAGCCTGCGGAGCTCCGCGAGCGGCGCGCTGTCGAAGATGACGGCGTCCCCCGCCACTGGCCCGCGGCCGAGCGCCGCGAGCAGCGCCACGCGCAGCCCCGCGCGCTCCGCGCCCTCTGCTCCGCCAGCCGCCGCCGCCGCCGCCGCACCAGCAGCGGCCGCCGCGGGCTCCGCGAGGGCCTCCCCAGCACCAGGGCGAGGGGCCGCGCGCACAACGTCGTCGGCCCACTCGTCGTCCACGTCGTCGTCGGCGTCGGCGGCATCGGCAGCCGCTGCACCTGCAGCCGCCCCAGCAGCCTCCGCCTCCGCGATCATGTCACTCCCAGCAGCCTCAGGCGCCGCAGGCGCCGCGCCGCGCTCCCCCGCGCGCCGCGCCGCAAGGCGCTGGCGGCGGCGGCGGCGGCGCGCCACCTTGGCATCCGAGGTCACCGCAGAGTCGCGCGCCTCCGCGGCGTCACCGCCAGCCGCCACGGCCGCCGCGGCGCCGCGGCCCGCCCCGTGGAGCGCAGCCGACAGAGCCGAGCGGGCCACGGCTGCCACCGTGTGCCGCGGGGCGCTCGCAGCGACGGCCCCGCGCACCGCCGCCTCCACGAAAGAGGCGACATCGCTGGCCGTCCAAGCCCCTCTAGGCGCCGCCATGCCGCCGCGGGGACAGCAGAGCGACGGCCGTGCGATCGCTTGAGCCAAAATGAAGAACAGGAGGAGGAGACCAAATGGCTTCGAGGGCCCGTTGGAAGGCATTTTGTCAGGGATTTTCCAACGAAAATGTTTAAACACGTTGGTTTTTCAATACTTTCGCTTCTTGGGCCATCTTGGGGGTCATCTGAGATCGCTCCGAAAAGATGCCTTACAAGAGCTGTGTCGGCATCCTATTGTTTCGAGGATGTCTCGGGCGCAACGCCCATTTTCGAGGATCCGAGAATTAGGCGAGCGATTTCGAGATCTTCATCTTTGGAAGATATCTCGAGCGAAACGCCCATGTTTAGCAAAACAAGTCTTAAGATACGACCCCCAACTTCACGATTGTGTGAGGATGTCTCAAGCGAAACGCTCATGCTGGGAACCTTTCCTAACATGAACGGAAAGCGCGTGAAAAAGAAGAGTTACGCAAGAACTTGCAGCATCATCGTGATCAAATGTAATATAGGCGAGCTCTCCGAACGCTCACAAAGGATACGTATGGACACGCACCCCCCCCCGAACGTTTACAAGCATCTTCCTGGTTATCCTCCTCACTCCTCCGCATGAGGAGGACGACGGCGAAAACGACAATCGTGGGAGGAGGGGGGGAGGATGAGGAGGAGGAGGAGGAGGAAAGGGAGGAGGGGGAGAAGGAGGAGGAGGACCAGCAGCAGCAGCAGCAAGAGCAGGAACAGAGGGTGAGGAGGGGACGGGGAGGAGGAAGAGGAAGAGGGGGAACAGGAACAGGAGGAGGAGGAGGAAGACGAGGCGGAGGAGGAGGAAAGAGAAGGAGGAAGAACGAGAGGAGAAGGAGGAGGAGGAGGAGGAGGTGGAGAAGCAAGAACAGGAGGAGGAAGGGAAGGAGAAGAAGGAGGAGGAGGAGGAGGAGTAGCGGGAGAAGGAGGAAGAGGAGGAGGAGGAGGAGCAGGAGGGAGAGGAGGAGGAGGAGGAGACCGAATGGCTTCGAGGGCCCGTTCGAATGCATTGTGTAAGGATGTCTCGAGTAAAACACTGATTTTTCAACGAAGATTTAAAAACCACATGGTTTGTTTCCCAACATGTTCGCTTCTTGGTCCTTAGAAGGAGGCTGTCTCTTAGAAGGCGCGGCCTTAAATCGAAAGATAAGGCCCGCATCTTCTAACAAACAGGGGAACTTCTAAGAAGCCTTTCCCCCTACCCCCTGTGCGCGTGGCCGATAAGGCGCGTCCTGAGCCTCCCCACAAGATGATGCCGCCTCCTACCGTCGGGAGATGATCGCAAGGGTCCCCCTGCACGTCGGGAGATATCGGAGGTGTGACAAGCGGCGGACGGCAAGAAGAGATATGACAGGCGAGGCCGGCAATAAAGGAGACTCAAGATGTAATGGCTGCTGCTGGAAATTGAGCCCCCGCCACCTGACGGCGCGCAGAAGGGTGTGGCGCCAGATCGAGGGAGAGGGGAGGAGGGGTGGGCGAACGAGCGAGGGCGGGGGAGGGGGGGAGGGGCGAGCGAGCAAGGGGAGGGGGGAACGAGAGGGGGAAGGGGCGAGCGAGGGGGGGGGGGAGGACGAGCGAGGGGAGGGGGGGGGGGGAGCGAAGGGGGGGGGGAGCGAGCGAGGAGAGGGGGGAAGGGGGGGAGGGGAGGAGGGGAGGGGGGGGGGGGAAGGGCGAACGCGGGGCGCACGGAAAACAGGGAGGGGTTCACAAGAAGCCCGCTGCGTTCTCAGGTGTCCCCCCCTTGCGCCGCACCACCCCCATTTGCGCGCCATCAAACCCCCGCATGCGTGAGCAGGTTCATAGAAGCCCACCGCGTTGCCTCCTTCAAAAAACCTCCGCAACTTGCGTCACCCCTGAGCCTTCCCAGGGTCCGTCCTGAATTTCCTGAGCCGCGCCCAACCGTAGCGACGAAAGCCTTCAAAAGCGCATGATCACCTCCGAATCGGCGACCCCGACGACACCAAATGCTTCGAAAGCGACGAACGCCTCGAGGCGCCACCGCCTTCGCCGGCACCCATCCTGGCCGAGGTTCCAAGTTCCAAGGACAGGCTCGCTGGAAGTCTCCGGGAGGGGCTCCCAAGAAACACAATCGCCTCAAAGAAATCCTCTCCCCGCGCCACACCCGTCTGCGCCCGCCAGGGAGGGCCCTCGGTGGCCCTCCGCGGCGCTCGGCTTCTGCGACGCTGCGACGCTGCCCTCCTCGTCCTCCTCGTCCTCCTCCTCCTCCTCTTCCTCCTCCTCCTCCTCCTCCTCCTCCTCCTCGTCCTCGTCCTTTTCCTCCTCCTCCTCCGCCTCCTCCTCCTCCTCCTCCTCTTCCTCTTCCTCGTTGTCCTTCCTCCTCCTCCTCCTCCTCCTCCTCCTCCTCCTCGTTTTCCTCCTCCTCTTCCTCCACCCACTTCTCCTCCTCCTCCTCCTCCTCCTCCTCCTCCTCCTCCTCCTCTTGCGCCCACGTGGGCGCCTGCACCCGGCCGTGGGCCGACATCTCCGCCGCGCCGTCGAGGCGATCCTGCGCCCCCCGGCGACCCTTGGATCGACCAAGGGATGGGAGGAGGCATAGGTCACGAGCGCCAAACATATCCGCATCCACTCCATCGCGGTCTGGATCCCTGGGCGCGACCACGTGGAGGTGCGGTCGCACGGATGCGCCCCGCGCGGGGTATCCGCGAAAAAAACGCCCCTCACCCACAGCATCGCGACCCAGAGGCCTGCCCCGCGAGGCCGCGGATACGGATGGCGGGCAGCGGACACCCCCAACCCAAACATATCAACATCTCTTGGGGGTGCATGTGTTACTTCCGCTGGCTCGCGCCAGCCTTCCGACGGCTTTTGCGGGCACAATTCACCTTGCGTTACTTCCACCGCCGTCCGCCGAGGAAGAGATTCCATCTACTTTGGTTCTCCATGGCGAGGTCCCTTATGGAGCGCGCCATCGATCTTCCGCCCACGAATAGGCGACGGGATAGAGGTAGGCATAGGAGGAATAAGCGAAGGAATAGAGGAGGCCAGCGTACGACGATGACGGCGACGCCCACCCTAGACGGAAGCTCCTGCGGCCTCCGCCCCCACCGCCACGTCGGACGGCGTGGCGAGGCGCAGCTTCCGTGAAGCGGAACGTGCAGCATCGAGCTCGGTGGAGGGGAGAAACAGCAGAGCAGGGGAAAGAGAGCGGACGGCATGATAGGTGTGATGTGCCAAACCAGAGATTCCCCTGCGCTGCAGCGGGTCGGGCGTAAAATTTCCACGGCGCAAAACCGTCGAGATCGGCCGGGCCAGACGCGGACAGGAGGCATAATGCGATTGCTTCTCTCGGAGCCCGCAACCGAAAATACGACCTAAACACCCCCGCTCATTCAGAATCCTGTGAGAGTTAAGCCACGATCCACTCAGAATTCGATGCCAGGTCCAGGACCAGGACGGAGGAACGCTCTTCTACACCTTTTGGAACGCAAACCAGTCCACGCCCTCGATGGTCGCCCATCGCTCAGGCCACCACTTCATCAGACGAGAGTTGTACAAATCGGGGGGCACGACGTCGGCATCAATCGGAGGCACTCGACTTTGGCAACGCGCTGAGGCTTGATCACGCAAGAGCGGCACGCGGCAGCAGCAGCGATATGTGCTGGACCTCCACAGCCCTCTTCGGCGTCATGAGGAATGGCGAACGCTCGGCACTTCCAGCGCGGCGGGCATCGACGACCCGCAGGGAAATTAGGAAGTCTGCATTCGTCTAGCTCAGGGGACTGGGGCGTGTCCGTCATGCGAATCAACCACTTATGCACCCTCCTGTACTCGGGGATCGTAGCAATAGCCATGCGCGCCATCGTACACATTTTCAGTACCTCAAAAGGGCACACAAGGACCTTGGGTCCGCTTCAGTCTTCCAGCTGCGCCCAGAGCCGATCCCGGAAAGAACCGAAAGGCAGACGCAAGATTCGAGCAAGCGCCCCACGTTCAGCAGCACCGTTCAGCAGCACGCGTGTCAGGAGGCAACGGGATAAACTGCATCACGTTGCTCAAGACGGGCGCGCAACGCGCGTTGCACAGGAATGCCGAAGAAGACGCTGGGAGATTACCTGCACCCACATCAGCAAGACGAGTTCGGAATTTAGCGCGCGACAGTAGCCGCGGGTCACCGAACTTCGTGGCGAGCCTAATCCAGAGCCCCAAGTAGAACAACGTGGACTAAAATCGAAAGTCAGACTATTCGAGGATGAACGCGTTCAGAAACTCTGGAACACGAGCAGTCAAAACCGGCGCGCACGGACCAGATACAAGAACCTCAACACATCGAAACGATGCGAGTCCAAAGCTGGCAGTCGCTTCCGCAATTCTCATCGCCTGACGAAGCTGCAGCAACAGGCGTAGATCCACAAGGGCTCCACCCAGGTCGTCAGCACAGGCACGGTTGACCCCCTTCCGCGGCGTCTCAAACGAGCAGCGGGGGCCCCGCAACGCAGGTGGAAGAGCGAAAGCGAACAGCGAGCTAGAGAGAGCACGCCCCTGGAGAATGCCCGACTGGATCCAGAACGCGCGAATATTAAGGCCCTGGACCGAGACAACACCCTCGACGCCGTCGCAGACGATCAAAACGAAACGAAGCAGCTGAACAGGACCCTAATCTTGCGCAAAGCAAGCAACACGAACTCTTGATTCAAGGTCGGGAATGTCTGGCCGTGGAGGCGCGGCGTATAAAAGTGGGCAGCGATGGTCGGCCTCAGCCCGGGCAGAGTGCGCGCGAGATGGGGCATTCACTTCCCAGACGTCCACACAAAAATTCGGGCCCTTCATGGACCCCCGCTGGTCTCTGGAAACAAAGCGCGCCAAAGGTTCCCCGATCGCAGTATTCACGGTCGCCGATAGGAGCATACCGCTGGCACTGTGGAGCCCGAGCACACGCGCAGCAGATGCTTCCCTCTCGCGCATGCCCTCCCTCGCGTCCGTGTCCACCTCTTCCCTGGGTAAGACAGCATGCAGCGTGATGTTCTCCGAGTAGGACAATCCCTCCCCCTCCATGATCCAGATCAACATGTCGCGCAACAGCCGAAGCCCAGAAGGGTGGCCCAGCCGCGCAGCATAACGCAGCACGCCCGGGGCAGGGTCACTAAGCCGATTTGCAACGCGTTCCAACGTGGCGAACGACGGCGGCGGGCAGATTGAGAAGTCGACGGGCGCGACGAAGAGATCGCAAAATGCACGAGCGGCGTTGCGAGCCCAAGGCTTGCCGGCGAACGCGGGGCCCCAGTGTGAAACCAGCGCTTCGCGACGATCAATCAGTCCTGCAAAAATTCGGACGATTCACCACCGCGGCGCGACAAGTAAGACGACGAGTGAACGGAAACCAACTACGCGTCCTCCTGTCAATTGCTTGCAACTGTTGGCGCTCTCTCTGACGAGCTCCCCCCTTCGGCTTGCTCGAGGCGGGCCCTGGCAGCGGCGCGATCGAGATTCGAGGCTTTTTATGGCGCGTCGTTGGACAAGCGTCGAAGAGCGGCGGGGCGCGCGAGCTTGACCTTCGAGCCCGCGATGCAGACAAAGTCCGCAGCGGCAACATGCGAGCCCAACAGTCGAACCGCCGTCGGAACATCTTGGCGCCAAATCACTCTAGCCAGAGACCGTGCCAACGGCAGCAGCTTGCACGGTTCGGATGGATGCTTACACGTGAGCATATCTCTCGCCTCCCTGCTGGCCTCCTGCATCGACGCTTCGCGCCTCTCCAACCTCATGGGCGGGCGCATCTGCTGCAAGTGGAGCTCTTCGGCTTCAACGAACGACGCCGGGACCTGCTTGACTTCACGAGAGTCACAGACGCGCTTCTGGACGGGGCGCACGGCGGGCTCCTGGGCCAAAACCCAGCCGGGACAAGCGCCGAGGGCATCGACTGCATTGCACTAGGCGTCGAAAAGAGTCGGCCCTGCCGGCGCGACCTCTACCGGCCCGTCGCGCGCGGACGCCCAGCCTGGAGCCTGAGCGCTCAATGGGCGTTCAACTCTCCAAGCCTCCGATCGCCGCGCGGAACTCAGATCTTCCTCGCGAGCGACATTGATATCGCCATGCTCTACGAGCGACGCAGAGGAATGAGCCGAATCCGACAGAACCCGATCTCTATTTATGTGGTTGCGCACGTCTCTTACCTGTTCTGGGGGGAAATCATTATTATGTGCGCTGTAATGCATCAGAGTGGCCTCCCGATGTTGCAGGGTGACACGAAAGGCACGGCCTGGAATCAGCACTGGCACAGAAGAAGTGACGCCAGCAGGCAGGAAGGGCGACGAAGCACCTCGTGACAACATTCCAGGAACGATAATGGCAACCCCACCACGTATCCTCCCTGCGCGGCCCTCGCTGCAGAAGTTAAAGACTCCCGGCAAAGCGCAGCTAGAAAAGCACGCCAACTGCGCCTCGCACTAATGGGCCTCCTGGGGAGCGGTGACTGCCGAGCCCAGTCTGAGCCTCTGGAGGTACCCCAAATTAACACCAGCGCTGGCACCCTCACATCCCACCGCCCTCAAATCCCAAGGGGCGAACCGCAGCCAAAAGACAAATCATGATTATGTGCGTCGCAATTCATCAGAGTGGCCTCCCGATGTTGCAAGGCGGCGCGAATGACACGGCCTGGCACGAGTACTGGCACAGAAGAAGTGACGCCAGCAGGCAGGGAGGGCGATGAAGCACCTCGCGACAACATTCCAGGAACGATAGTGGCAATCCCACCACGTATCCTCCCTGTGCGGCCCTCTCCGCATAAACTATAAACAATCACAACTCCCGGCAAGACGCGGCGGAGGAAGCACGCTAACTGCGCCTCGCACTGATGGGCGGCCTCCTGGAGAACGGTGACTGCCGAACCCAATCTGAGCCTCTGGAGGCACCCCAATTTAGCACCAGCGCGGGCGCCCTCACATCCCACCACCGTCCAATCCTAAGAGGCGAACCGCCGTCGGAACATCTTGGCGCCAAATCGCTCTAGCTAGAGACCGTGCCAACGGCAGCAGCGTGCGCGGGTCGGATGGACGCTTAGACGTGAGCATCTCCCTCGCCTCCCTACCGGCCTCCTGCATCGGCACTTTGTACCTCTCTCTTACCTCCTGGGCGGGCACATCTGCTGCAGTGAAGCTTTTCGGCTTCAGCGAACGACGCCGGAACCTGCTTGAATTCACGAGAATTACAGACATGCTTCGAGACGGGGCGCTCGCTGGGCTGTTGGGGCGTCCTTTGACCAAGGGAAACTCACAAAGCACTGTGGTCGCTGACCTTAGTGCAGCGTTAAATTTCATGGGGCCCTTCGGCCCTTCAACGCGAGCATTAGCATATGTTTGAGCAAGAACCCAGCCGGGCCAAGCGCGCCAGAACCTGTCGAGGGCAACGACTGCATTGCACTGGGCGTCGACATGGATCGGCTCTGCCGGCGTCGACTCGACCGGTCCGTCGAGCGCAGCAGCCCAGCCTGGAGCCTGAGCGCGCAATGGGCGCTCATCTCTCTAAGCCCCCGATCGCCGCGCGGAACTCAGATGTTCCTCGCGGGCGACATTGAAATCACCATGCGCTACGAGCAGCGCAGATTAAGAAACCGAATCCGACAGAACCCGATCCCTATTTATGTGGTTGCGCACGTCTCTTACCTGTTCTGGGGGCACATTATGATTACGTGTGTGTTGTAGTGCATCAGAATGGCCTCCCGATGTTGCAAGGCGGCGCGAATGACACGGCCTGGCACGAATACTGGCACAGAAGAAGTGACGCCAGCAGGCAGGAAGGGCGATGAAGCACCTCGTGACAACATTCCAAGAACGATAATGGCAACCCCACAACGTATCCTCCCTGCACGGCCCTCGCCGCAGAAGGTAGAAACGATCACAGCTCCTAGCAAAACGCGCGGAGGATGCACGCCAACTGCGCCTCGCACTGATGGGCCTCCTGGAGAGCGGTGACTGCGGAGCCCAGCGTGAGCCTTTGGAGGCACCCCAAATTAACGCCAGCGTCGACACCCTCAAATCCCATCCGCCCTCTGGGCGTAGGTGGTCTCCAAGGACCTCCTCTTCCAACCTTCTCTTTCCCCTTCGGGGAGGTGATTATCCCTCCCCCCACCGGTTTCCCTGGAACTGGACGGGGAGGGCCGCGAGGCGCTGGAGCACCCCAACTGGCCCAAGACGGCTCCAATAGGGCCCCTGGGAGTCCAAAGCGAACTCCAATATAGCTCAAGATAACGCACGATGCCTCAAGATGGCTCCCAAGGTGCTCCAAGAGACCCCTAAGAACTTTGCAAAGCGGCTCCATGATGCGCCCGAGACCCCCAAGGAGGCCCCCATGAAGCCCCAATCCTTCGAACACCTGAAGAAAATCAATGAGTGTTGCGTTCTCGCCTTGTCGCTCCCGATGGCCATCCGAGGCCTCATTATGGCTCCGAGATGGCCCAATCGAGCCTCAGGAGAAGGCTCAAGAGAGCCCCAAGACGGTCCCCAGGGCGCCTAAAGGCGCCCCAGGAGAGCTCCAGGAGGGGTCCAGGAGGCGAATTTCGGTGCTCCCGACGGGGGAGAGTATTTTGAGCCCCCCTCTTCGATGATCGATGCTCCCCAAGATTGCCCCACGAGCGCCCCTGAAGCTCCCAAGAGCGCCCCAAAAGGGCGTCAATTGACGCCCAGGCGGCGCCAAGCGGCCTCCAAGAGGCCCCCAAGAGACCCCATACGAGGCCTCAAGAAGACCCCCGATGCCCCCTCACTCTCCCTCCTTCTCCTCCTTTTCCTCTTTCTCGTCCTCCTCGTCCTCCCCCTCCTCCTCCTCCTCCTCCTCCTCCTCCTCCTCCTCCTCCTCCTCCTCCTCCTCCTCCTCCTCCTCCTCCTCCTCTCCCTCTTCCTCCTCCACCTCCTCCTCCTCCGGCGGCGAATATTCCTCCTCCATGCTCCCCCTTTGGGGTATATGACGGCGTCCCTCGCCCTTTGTTCTTTGGCATGCTTTCCCACTTCCCTGATCATCTCAACTCTCCGGGGCATCGTTTGTGACTGGGCTGGTGGGGATACTCGAAGCGTTAACCTCGCGAGTCTCACGGGACGAATCAAAGGCCTCCAGCCGCAGATGCAGCGCACAGGGATCAAATAGGCGAGAAGCCGATCGGAGCAGAAAAAACGGCGAAAGGCATCACTCAGGCTCATGATCAGGTTCGATTATTTCGTTGGTCGCGCCCATAAGCGTGGCCTTGTCGACCGCGTGCTTGTTGATGGTGCCAGAGTTCCACGGCACTCTGGTCGCTTCGCGCCCAGGGTAGCACTCGATCTTGCAGAGAGCGTCCCACCCAAGCGAGAGCCAGCCACGGTCCCTGTCGAAGAAGGTCTTCTGGCTGTTATCGTACAGCTCGGAGAATGTGGCCCGCAACTTCCGATGACCTAAGTATTGATATGCTTCGCGTTCCTGTCCTGCCCTCCTGCATGTGCACCAGCAGTGAACTCGCGGGATGTATTACCCACGCGCAGCGAAGCGAGCAGCTTCTGTGCACGACTAGAGGCGGGTCGCACAGCGCCCTTGATCTTGATGGTGGAACTCTTTGATGGTGGATCTGGTGCATTGAGCGCCCAATGGTCACTGCCAACGCTTGCTTCTTCAATCCAAAGAGTGCGAGCACCTCGACAACACACGGCTTTGCCACGAGCTTGTCAGCAAACACTTGGATAAACGTTTCATCCGTATCGCGCTCGAAGACCACAGCACCAGCGAGCGGCTTAGGCGCAGGGGTGGACGAGTTGGCAACTGCCAGCGCATCCTGGAGTTGCTTGATCTGCGTCTGCATCTCGCGCAGCAGCCCGACTTGTTGCCCCACTGGGGTGTCGACGCCACGCTGGATCTCCACTTTGAGCTCGTCGCATCGGGTATTGGCTTCGCGTCGTACCTCGTCGAAGCGGGGGGCACTTGCAGAAACACTTAGTGAATCCAACTTTTTGGGCAGGTTGTCCAGGTCCTCCTTGTACTTCTCGAGGCACGCAGCCCGATGGGCGTCGAAAGACTCCGACAGCGTGGCGGCTTCCGCCTTGACCGTCTCGGAGACCGTGGCGCTGATGGTGCTGCCGAGCTGTTCCTAATACTTCTCAATATCCCCTTCTGATGGCCTCGGCAATCATGGCACACACGTGGTCAGCGGAGGCGTCGCCGCCGCCGTCGCTGTCGTCCGTGTCCATGCGGTGGGCACCCACAGCGTTGTTACTTCCAGCAGCACTCCCAACAGCACCAGCAACACGGCGGCGATGACGCAGGAGCCTCTTCTCCTTGCCCGCTTTGATGACTCGAGCAGCGGCCCAGGAAGCAAGAGGCTTGGCGGGAGACGCGGCAACTGAACCATTGGGAGCCGACATCCGTTCAAGTCTGCAAGTGAGCGAGACTGGGTGGATGGGCCCAAGTCCTCCAGTGAAGGCGCTACAGAGAAGAGCTGCCAGCCTCAAGAGGCTTGCCTGTTGCGGGATAGCGGTATCCTTGCATGCCGCGGGGCTGGGTGCCGCAACAGCCAGTCCTGAGCCAACATGGCTACGGACGAAGGGACAGAGGAGGCGTTGGAGGAGGCATAGGATAAGGAGGAGGAGGGATAGGAGGAGCGCCGCGCATCAGGAGGGATAGGAGGAGGAGGAAGGGAGGAGGAGGAGAAGGAGGAAGGGAGGAGGAGGAAGAGGAGGAGGAGGAGAAGGAGGAGGAGGGGGAGGAGGAGGAGGAGGAGGAATCTAATATTTCTGCGAATCTCTCTCATGGATGCGCTGGTCCACCGCCCCCAGGGAGCTGGAGAGCGCGGGCGCTGACAGGTCTCAAGCGTGCTCCCGCACACTTCTCTATAAACAAGAAGCGGCACCTGCTCGTCAAGCCCCTCCACACTGCGGACGTGACTCCTGCAGGCCAAGTCTGGCTTTGTCTGGAAGTTATGTACTTGGAGGCGCCACCCGCCTCTGCCCCTCCTTTGAGCAAGCGGTGGCGTAAGTGACCTGTTGCGCGGACGACCCTGCATTCGCGTCGGCTTTTGCCGCGGAGGATGGACAGAAAGTGGCACGGACAGAGCCTTGGCCGAGCAGAACATATCGTCGCCAGAACGTGCGTGTTGCCCATCCCCCACGAAGTTACACGAGGAGGGATGGGCGAAGGGACACGAGGAGGGATGGATGGCAGGCGGCCATGGGCGGGGCGCCAGCGCAGTGGCTCCAGGCAGGCGGTGGCGGCCGTGTGAGCGGGGCGCCCGCGTAGCGCGGGGCCGTGCGCGGGAGCGTCCGGGGAGCAGATGGAGCCTTTTTTTCGAATGATTCGCGGTGACGCCCGTGACCAGCCACGCCCGCCTCACCCTGGTCACGTCACGACTCGCGCCAGCGCCGTGTGGGAATCGGCCAGTCCTGGCATTCCCAGACGGCGCCGGCGCGAATCGTGACAGGGCCCCTGCCACCCCTGCCAACCCCGCACCCTCCCCCCCGGTCACGTCCGTTGTCGCCAGGGGACAAAAAACTGTTTCACGTCGTCGTGGTCAGAAAAATGCGTCCGCAGACATCCGTCGTCTCGGAACAATTGAAACGGAGACGGATGTTTTCCATCGTTTTCGGCCTCTCGCGACCCATACCGAGCCTCGAGGCCGACAAAACACGACTCGGGATGAACACCTGGCCCCGGGGAAGTGGTCGAGAGGTCGGGGGCTCGCGCAAGAATCGAAACGCTGGATGTCTGGGTCATGGCGGCAGGGTGGGAGGGCGGGGGAGGGGGAAAGAGGGCACAACGTGACGCGTGGCGGCCCACACCCCCCATCATGCAGTGCGCCCCCCCGCACCACCGCAGCGCGTTTGCGCGCAGCCTAGCCACGTAGCAACCGTTCGGTCACAATGCCAATGCGCACCACAGAGTGCACCTGAAGAAAAGCTGCATGCCCGAAGTGATCTGCTGCCAGAACCAAAACAAAACCAGTGTTGTGCCCGATGGCTGCTGAAAAGTGCAATCGTTCTCGTCATTCCAATCCTTCCAAAATCCAACACGGCTCAAGAGGCCCCCATGATCGCCCCAAGAGGCACCCAACCCCAAAACGGCCCAAGAGGGTTCTAATATTTCCCAATAGGAGGGAACCCGAAGGGACCGTTCGAGCCCTTCCCCCAAAGATGCCCCCGAGACCGCCAGAATCCCCCCACGAGGCTCCGGAAGCTCCCAAAGGCGCCCTCGAGATACTCAAGCGGCCTCCCAAGTGCCTCAAGAGGCTCCAAGAATTCCTCCAACAGGCCCTCGAGAGGCCTTTTCAAATGATACCGGACAAAAAAACCCAATCAGAATCTGTTTAGGGCTATAGGGCTATGGGGCTGTAGGGCTATAGGGCTATAAGGCTATGGGGCTATATGGCTAAAGGGCTATAGGGCTATAGGGCTTTAGGGCTTTAGGGCTATAAGGCTATAGGGTTATAGGGCTATTGGGCTATAGGGCTATAAGGCTATAAAGCTGTAGGGCTACAGGGCTATAAGGCTACCAGGCACCTGGGCACCCGGGCATCTGGGAACCCGGGTGTGCCGCCGAAGTCGGCCCATACCTCACCTAACCGTATGAATCCGCTACTAGGACCCCTACAGAGGCAAGCTCTGATTGGGAAAAGTCCCCAGAAGCCTCTAAGAGACCTCTTGACTACGATCCAAGTGCGGTGGCGGGGTGGGCCGTTAGCCCCTTGAGACGCCCCCAAGAGGCCACCAATAGGCCTCAGGAAGCCTCCACGAGGCCTCATTTTCCTCCTTCTCCTTCTCCTCGCATTCCTTCTCCTCCTTCTCCTCCTTCTCCTCCTCCTCCTCATCATCATCATCCTCGTCCTCTTCCTCCTCCTCCTCCTCAAACTCCTGCTCCTCCTGCTAACGGCTGGGCAGCACGTAGCCCAGTAGCTTGACAAGACGTCTGCCAAACAGCATGTCGGCGTTTTCATGCATAGCTCCAAACGCTTGGCCACACATGCGCTTCCAAAAGGCAGGGGCCGACGGTGAATCGCCGCAGCCGTCTTCGGTAAAAATAATCCCTCCTCGGGTGTCTCTTGAAGTCCCCGAGGTCAGGCTTCCAGACTCAGAGGGGAGGAAGCAGAACACATCAATCCTCGAGGAAGGAGGAGGAGGGAGAACCCCAACCCTCCCTTCCTGGGACGCACAAGGAAATACTAGTAATATGTGTCCTCCTGGTAGGCGTGCGTCCGACCCGAACAGATCGTATACCCATCTTGTAGTAGTTCGTTTCCCAAGCGGTATGGCCAGAAATCGCCCGCCACGGAGCTTATACTGTGAGATTTCTCGGCGCGCACGTCGCCCCTGGATGGGGCGACGCACACATAGCCTTAGTATGTGGGGGGACGCCGACCCCACCCTCCCTTCCCGCTCCTCCCTCCTGTAGCAGGAGCGAGGCCGACGGCCCAACCCGCGATCCTTCGGCACGCACTCCCCGAAGCCAGGCACCTGGGGCACAGTGGCAGGTGCAGCTCTGCATACGCTCTCCCCCTCCGTCACGGGGCGGCCCTCGCGCGCGTCCCGCGCTTAGCTGCCCCGATACGCAACACGCAACTACTAGAGTATTGACACAGAACTCACCACGTAGACTGAACACGTAGGTCTAACGCGATACGTTTGCCAAAACGTGGGCCAATACGCTGAACCAGCAAACACCCTACTGACACGGACGTTTCGAGCACTGTACGTGTCGCGTATCAAAACGGGTGTATCGAGGCAGCAGAGGTCCCGCGATGTCTGTACAACTGCGGGGGCAGGGAGGGACGACACCACCACCACCAGGAGCAAGAGGCAGGCAGGTAGGCAGGCCCTGCCTGAGACATCACCAATCTTCAGCTCGGGGGGACATCGTGGATCTCCTCCCTGGAGGTGGCCCGCTGATGGTGGCGGTGTCGCTTCTCCTTCCTACAGCAGGTGATGCGATTCGAGGCAAGGCAGAATGTCAAGCCAACGCCACGGCATTAATGCCATGGCATTAATTTCGGACCAAAGCCATGGCGGTGAATTGGCCGGATGCACGAGCTGGCTGTGGCACGATTGCCTGCGTGACGGCGCGTGAGTGGCACGCATTCGGCTGAGACGCGCAGTCGTTGTCAACTTTGAATATCTGGGTCACGGATCTCATGACGAGCAGGACGATGGAGACGACAATGCTTTTTACTCACAGCGCTGAGGGCTCAAATCCCTTTCGACCTAGACTGCGTGGCCCATTGGGGCGTAGCGTTTTAAGCCCTGCGCCCGCTTACGAGTCACTGATGCACGCCCTAGAGCTGGGCCACGCTTGCGCGTGCGATAGGCTGCAGTCACGCCAGGGTGGGGAAGCACTCGGCGAAAGTGGACTTGGGATGTTTTGACTCGGCGTGGGCCTTCTGATCGGCATTCTTCGCTGTCACCTTGAACTGCTGCATGCAAATCGCGCACTTGACGTCCTCCTTTTTGGTTGCCTCCTTCCGCAAGATTGCGTCGTCCGTGACAATGCCTGCCTTTCACGAGCGGCGAACATCACCGTATCCGCGCCCTCGCGATCTGTATTCCAGGGCGCGATCCCGTGGACACGCCGTCATACGAATACGTTCCGCGCGGGGCATCCGCGACACAAATGCCCCGCATCCGCGGGGTCGCGGCCCGCGAGGCCGCGGATACGGATCTGTTTCGCCCACGAGCCTTCGCGTTCGCGTTCTGCTCCCTCTTCTTGAGCGCCTTCCCTCCCAATGGCATTGCTTCCTGGCGGTGGAACTGCGGCCCCGAAGGCCAGGCGCAGGGCGACTTGCGCCAACAATGATAGAGCCACACCCTCTACGGACGTTGGGCACTTGCGACGCGGCACCAGCAGTAGATAAGCATCGGCATCAGCTGCAGAATGAGGCTGGTAAAGGTGAGGAGAGTGAGCTGGAAAGGCGAAGTGGCCTCACGCCAGAATATCCGCTCCACCGCCAGACGGCTGGAAGACTTCCGTCCAAGATGCGTCTCAGACCACTGAGAGGCCCCCCAAGAGACCGCCCAGATGCGCCCATGAGGTCCCCAGTTGCTTCAAAGCGGCTCCTGGGGGGAGGGTGGAGCGCGCAAAATCCCACCAGCCCTTTGGGCGTGATTGGTTTAGGGCGTTTCCTCCTCTGTGTTCCCTCTTTCCCTTCGGGAGGGGGCAGCCAACCACGACCAATGCGATACCCGCCCCACTCATCCCTGTCAAAAGAACGATACGAATCATACTTTCGGCCAAAATATTGGGTCATGCTCATGGGCCCCGCGAGCACTTTGTATAGTGTTTTGACCGGGGCGGCGGGGGGGCCCTCATACTGCCTGCTTTGCGCAAGCAAGGCCACCGTCCCTGTGAAAAACAAGACAACATGCACTTCACTGTACATTAGCCTTCAACCAGGACTGGGGGTGTGCTGGTATACTGCCTGCTGTGCACAGGCCCACAAGACACCATGATGTCTTCCCCGTCGCGATTGCACACTGATTTTCGACAGGGATGGTGGGGGCCGGCATGTTTCCCCATGTGTGCTGTCACCCGCGCGGGTGCAACTGGCACACTCTGTGCGTGCCCAAGACGTGGCGCACCTGGCGCGGTTGGACCATGCGGCACAAAGGGCGCACGTCGAGCGCGTGGCGCATCTGGCGCGCGAAACTTGCCTGCCGCGCTTCAGCTTTAAGAGTGCCTAGTACAACAGGAGCGCGCACCTCGCCCCAGCGTCGCGCACATGGGCCTGTTTTGGTTCCCAATAGCTGCCCACCCATAGACGACCGCTGACCATGCTGAGACTCGGGTGCTATTTCTGCGTTGGGAGGGCGGGCGGGAGTGGGGTCGCGACTCACTGGAGAATCCAAGACGGCATCGGCGACAACGCACAAATCATGATGTTTGGGCCCATGTTGGCCTTTTGGGGGAGGGGCGCGCGCTGATATTGCACCTCCCCTTCTTTGATCGAGCTCCTCCAAGACGGCCCCAAGATGGCCCCAAACGCTTCCAAAAATGCCCCAAGGTCCCAAGAGGCGCTCCGAGGCCCCCAAGAGGCTGCCGGGAGGCACCCACGACGCTCCAATAGCCCCCCAAGATGCGCCAAGAGAACCCCAAGTACTTGTCAATAGACATCCGAAGAGACTCCGAGAGGCATCAGCGAGCCGTCTGGCCATGCTGCTCGCCCCCCTCCTCCTCCTCCTCCTCCTCCTCCTCCTCCTCCTCCTCCTCCTCCTCCTCCTCCTCCTCCTCCTCCGACTGTTCCTTCTTCTCCCTCCTCTCTGTTCGCCCTCTCCCTCCCCCTCCTCCTCCTCCTCCTCCTCCTCCTCTTCCTCCTCCTCCTCCTGCAACGACGACGACGACGACGACGACGACATCGCCCCTGCCGGGCACGACGGCTTCCCCAACCCGCTATTTCACTGCATGCTCCTATACATCCCTGATCAGGACAACTCGCCTGGGCATTGGTTATGGATGAGCTGGTGGAATAAACTTTTTGCGTCGCGACCGCAGGCGAAAGCGCCAGCGGCGAGTAAGGTCCGAGCGGGCCGCGCAAGAGCCTAATTGCCAAACGCCGAGGGGCCGGCGACTTAAGCAGCACCTAAGCGGCGGGCCAGCGGGGGGGGGGGCGGGCTGCAGCTGCCAGGAACCAGGCCCAGGAGCGCGCACATGCACGATTAACCAACCAGGGTTTGAGCGCAGCCAAAATGGCGCGGGGGTGGTACCAGGATGTGGCCAGGAAGACCACCACCAGTACGCTGCACCAGCAAACCAAAATAACTCACTGGCCATGGAACTAGTGCATGGGGTGGCGCCACCAAAGTCGCACACCGAGACTCCTGAAGGGAGTACTGATCCTGCAGATAACCGTCCACGGGGTGAACCCGGGCGGTCCAGCGGAGTAGCCAGGGGGACGATGGATGTGATCGACACCGTAACACGCCTGAACCACCGGATCAGAAACAGCCGAGCGCACTCGCGAACAGAGTCGACGTCTGAGAGCTGACCAGGACCAGGGCAATCCACGTCTCAGGCACGGGGTCGAATGAACACGAGAGTGCCGTGGGCACCGCCACCGGGAACCGTGGACGTAGTCAACACAGTCATCCGACAGCCAGGAGGGCACAGGCTGAACCACGTGCACTCAGGGGCTCCATGCGCCAACGAGGAGATTGGGCCTGTGGAGCTGGGGGGACCAGGGGCCAGGGCTGACAGGGCCGCTGCGAAGCCCGGCTGCCTGAAGGAAGGGGGGACCAGGACGGAGTAAGGCAGGGCTGTCCTTGCGCGGGGAGCGAACCGCTCGGTGCGAGGCAGCTGCCTGCCTGTGGGACACCCGCGGCGCCGCCAGCACCAGGGCTCCCGACTGGCGCCGGCGGGAGGCCGGGCGGCGGGGCAGCAGCAGCAGGGGCAGCCGCGGCAGGGGCGGCCGAGCCGCCGCCGCTGGCCGCCTCCGGCCGCCCGGGCGCCAGCCTCCAGGGGGAAGGCAGTGGCGGCGGCGGCGGGGCTCGCCGCCGGCCGCCGCCGCCGCCGCCGGCCGCCGCCGCCTCCTGCGCGCCGGCCTCCAGGGTGGAGGCGGCGGCGGCGGCAGCAGCAGCCGCGGCCGCGGCAGCCGGGAGGCCCGGGCGGGGCGACCCGTCGCGCGCGGCGGCGGCCAGGCGCTGCCGCCGCCGCAGGGCGGCGCCAGAGGGGCGCGAAGCCGTCGCGACGGGGCCGGCCCAGCGCGAACCTGTCCAGGGGCGGGCTCGAGCCGAGACGGCTTGAGCTAGGCTACGGACGCCGGTGGGGTTACTCGAAGCGTCTAGACTAGGGTCCTCCTAAGACTCCAAGAAAAACATGTAACGCATCTAGGCCACGACGCAGGCACGGTGGCCAAATGGGCCGAAGACCACCATGGATCCGCCGCCCCCTGCTTGCAGGGGTGCACGGCGTGCTGGATGATTCAGTTTTGGTTTTGGTTCTTTTTCTAAAAGAACTCCCCAGTGGGCTTCGGCCCGTCCCGCCGGCCACCCGTAAATTTCCCAAAATGCGTCTGTCAATGCCTTTGTTGCCCCAACTTGGCCCAAGATGGCCTCCAAGACGGCCAAGATGGCCCAAGATGGCCTCCAAGATGCCTCCAAGACGGCCACGATGGCCTCCAAGACGGGTAAGATGGCTCCAAGATGCCTCCAAGACGGCCCAAGATGCCCTCCAAGACGGCCAAGATGGCCCCAAGATGCCTCCAAGATGGCCCAAGAGGCCTCCAAGACGTTCTCCAGGAGAGCCCGAAGAGGCCAAAATCATTGGTTTTCCTTAGGTTTTTGAAGGTTTTTTGCGTTTTCTTCTTTTCGGCCTTCCGACGGCCCAAGAGGCCCCCAAGATCGCCCAAGAGGCCTCCAAGAAGGCCCTATGACGGCCCAAGGGCCCCCCAAGACGGCCCCAAGAGCGCCCCAAGACGGCCCAAGAGGCCTCCAAGACGCCCAACATGGCCTCCAAGACGGCCCTGAAGCGCCCCAAGAGGGCCCCAAGACGGCCCAGAGAGGCCCCCAAGACGGCTCCAGACGGCGTCAGACGGACCAGGAACGCCCTAAGACGGCCAAAGAGACCCCCAGGAAGCCCCCAAAGGCCCCCAAGAGGCCCAAGGAGGCCCCCAAGATGCCTCCAAGAGGCCTCGAAGAGGCCCCCAAGAAGCCCCCAACAGACCCCAAGGGTGCCCCAAGAGACTCCTAACAACCCTCATCCTCCTACTCTATTTCTTCCTCTTCCTCTTCCTGTTCATAATCATTCTCTCCCATGTGTTCCCCGAAAGCTTTCCAAACCGACTCGGGGAACTCATGGTCCGATAGCTTGGCCAAGCTCTAATCCAACTTTCGGCCACATCGGCGTCTCCAAAAAGGCAGGGGGCGGCGGTGATTCGCCGTAGGCGTCTTCGATCTGCAGACACGGCGTCAACACGCCCGGCGCGTACGGAGATGGCTGCCAAGAAGGTCCAAGACGGCTCTACATGGCGGCTCCAACATGGTCCAAGATGGTCCCAAAAGGGTTCAGTAGGCAATAGTATGGGTCTCGTGTGCCGTCTTGGAGGCCCCCGGGGTCGGCCGAAGAAGGCTTCAATAACAGGTCGGGGTGAAAATGGTCGTTCGTGTACCCGTCTTTTCGGTCTTCGCAGCGTCGAAGACGGCCCACGACGGCCCACATTGGACCCAACAGGACCCCGAGACGGCCGAACAGGTCCTACCCCCCCGTGAAAAAAAACACCTCCCCCCCCACACCCACCCCCAATTTCAATGTTCAATGCGGCGCCGATTTGTTTTTCGAACTTCGCCGGTCGCGCAATCAACATTGAAATGGGGACCGGGGGGCTCGCCAAACACCAGTTGCTTTTCGAGCGGGGTTGAGGAGAACGGGGAGAAGAAGACGACGAAGACGACGAGGCACAAGGAGGAAGAAAAGAAAGGATGACGACGACGCAGGAGGAAGGAGGACGACGACGCCGACGAAGGCGAGATGTTTCACACGCCCGAACAACGAGGAACACGCCGTACAGACATTCGGTAAGAAATCTTGTTTCAAGAGATCTACGGCCACGCTCGCCGTCCATCTTTGAGCTTCCTGAGGCGCCTCAAGGCTTGCATGGGTCCCCAGGGCCATCAGGGGATAAGACATCTCCGCGGGGCACCTGCTGTCAGGTTGGTTTCTTATCGGCCCAGCCGACCCCGCCACTGAATGCGACCACGCGAAATCATCATTGCCCGCCGTTGCCCGCCTATTACCTGGTCTA